TTAAAATATGTTTTCATGTCAACTTATTTTAAAAATAAAACTGCAATAAAAAATTTATATTATAATCATTATACAGGGTGGTCCAGATTATATCATTAAAAATGTTTTAGCCAATAGTTAATTAAAAAATAAACCAAATTTAACACCCTGTATTTCAAAGAGAAAGCAAAATTCATAGTTTATTTGGCAAACTAACTTTATTTTTTAGGGAACTGTTTTGGGGTATTTCCACCAAACCTTGCCCCACCTTGACAAAAAATCAAAAGTGTTATTTAATAAAATAATATCTAAAGTCAAATATTTTAATTGCTACGTAATTTATAACTTTAAAATATTCGTACATTGTGATTCTAAGAAGATAACATTAAGAATAAATACGGAAGAGTTTCAATACTCGATAAAATGTTCAAATGTCGCACCCGTTACATTTTGAAAATTTTTTAGAAAATAAAGTACAATATTTGTGTATTTAAAATAGGTGCTTGTTTAAGGTTACTATTCAAGTTTTATTTTTTTTTGCTTGCTCTCCACCCAAAATATCGTAGAATATGTCCGAACAAATATTCTGTTAAAAGCGGAGCTCATAATTTCAATTTTAAGAGGTCCTCCATCGAATCTGAAGTTTTGCCGCTTAAATAACACAGAAAACAGACTTTTTTACCTTATTTATTCTTGCAACCTAGGAAGAATTTTTTTTTTCATAAAATCCATGACTAATTCTTACAAAGCATTAAATTTGGACAAAAAATCTTATCAAGCCGAATTTCTATTTTCATTATTTGATTTTTTACAGAGCTTTAAATTTAAAGTTAATAATACAAAAATGATGATTTTATACGTCTGTAACTTTTAGAATATTGACGATACAAAAAATTCGCCTTAAACTTTTTTGTGGTCCATCAGACAAGCTAAAAATTCGCCATTTGACTTTTTCGTCTAACTTCAATAGTTTAGCTGAAAAAGGCAAAAAACCTAAAATTTTAAATTTTAAGCTCTGTAAAAAATCAAATAATGAAAATAGAAATTCGGCTTAATAATATTTTTTCGTCCAAATTTAATGCTTTGTAAGATTTGGTCATGGATTTTATGAACAAAAAATTTCTTCCTAGGTTGCAAGAATAAATAAGGTAAAAAAGTCAGTTTTCTGTGTTATTTAAGCGGCAAAACTTCAGATTCGATGGAGGACCTCTTAAAATTGAAATTATGAGCTCCGCTTTTAACAGTATATTTGTTCGGACATATTCTACGATATTTTGGGTGGAGAGCAAAAAAAAAATATCGACTTTTTTGGCACACCCTAAACTTGATATATATGAACAAACACTTTATTATTATGAAAAAAACGCAGTTTTAGTGTCGCACCCGTTACAATGGAAAAACCCTTTAGTAAAAAGCCAGTAAATTCGGGACAGCTATCATATTTGAAGTGAGCTTTTGTGTTTAGTCAGGGTTCCCCAATACACTGTTATAAAAATAAGATTTTTACTGAAAGTTTTGTAAAGGTAAAATGCAATTTTGTAAGCATTTTGTTAATTTTATAGGTTATAGATTGTTTTGTTAATGTTTAATAAATTATTCCGTTGAAAAAGTACACGTGATTTCAGGCAGACAATCAAAACATTTCCAAGCACAACACACTTATCAACAAGTTGTGTCAGCGTCAACGGGTGTTTATAATATTTAACGGTGACAGGAGTGTTTATAATGTCATTATTGGGTTTCAAATTAAAATTAGGCGATATAGTGAAGTAAATCAGTAAGTGTTTTAGTATTACTGATAGTTATATTTTACCAAATTTCTATATAATCTGATGATTTTAGAATGGTGTGTTATTTAATTTTGTGTATGTTATTTTTGTATTCATTTATGTAGGTATGTGTTAATTATGTTTTATTTTGAAAATTGTTTAATAAAGCAACATTTATTATAACAAATTCTCTTTTTTAAAGTTCCCAATTTACAACAAATACTTTTGATATTGGGTCTACATAAAAGTTTGTAAAAAATACAAGAATTATGGTTGGAATTTTGTTATTAAATCTACAAAATATCTGTAATAATTACTATTCAATTATTCAATTAGTTAACAGATTACACTTGGTTGTAAACTTAACAAAAAGTTATGTGGACCTGGATTAACATAAAATCTGGTTATTATTTGGTTAAAATTAACAAATATTTTTTTACTGTATAGGTAGTGTTTGTTAATCATTACCAAACTAGTAGTATTAAATACCATTAATTTTAATTTACGGCGCGCCGCGGCGTCTATAGGAAAAACAAGAGAAGATAAATGTGTATGTTTACATGTAAAACTTACTTTTTTCCAAAATTCTCAGGAAAAACGAAGTTATAACGATTTTTTGTTTTGACAGGTTTTTAGTTTTTCAAATTATTTAGAACCGCTGATTTTTTTTTACATTTTTTAAATGATATTAATAGACTTAATACACTTGCAATAACGCAACTTTCGTATAATTTAAAATTTAAAATTACTTAAAATTAATATTGTAATCTATTCTAAATTAAAAACAAAAATTCTTAAAAAATAAACTGTGTTTTGGCTGTTAAACTTCTAAGGATATTAACTAAATCATCCTATAAAATTACAATTAAAAAAACAGTTTGTGATCGTACAGAAAAGAAATTAGATCTGCAACAAAATATTATTCACTAATTTTTGCGCAAACGTTAAATTTAATAATCAAGTTTTCTTTTAAGCGTTTTAGTTTCTTTTTGTACGGATCAATTACACCTGGGTCTTGAAACTCGAAAACTTTGAACATAAAATCTTTATCCGGGCAACAAGTTTTTCCATTATAACATTTTTCCTGCAGTTTTATAACCAAAGATGCAGGATTCAAGATTAACTTATTCCTAGGTTCAACCAACCTAGGAAATTGGATTATTATTTAGTTAATAAACGTAAAAACCAACAAACCATTTGCATTGTTTAAATAGAGAATATTAAGTGTCAAGCATTATGGTATAACATATTTTCATTAGTTTATAAATACAAAGTGAAACTTAAATGCCCTGATGTTATGAATAAAGGACCAATTATCAAAAAAGTGTTAATACAATATGTCAAAAAATGCTTGTATAAAAAGTTACAGGCGTAATTTGCCTAAACAATTTCATGAATAATGTTTTAAAAATTCAACAAATTTCTCCATCGAGTACACAATCCGTTATTTGGTGTCTTTGTAGGTTTGGAGTTAAACTGGTAAATATATAATTTTACAAACACATTTTTCAGTCAAATTATATTAGGTTTCTATAGTTCTCAGCGAGATGGTAAAGTAGGAAATCCTTGAAGCGACAAAAACACTTTCCAGAGAGTTGAGAACGCTATTTTTGCGACCACAACAACCACTTTAATCATCAAAGCTATAATTTTGAAAAAGAAAAAATCGAATATAGCAACAAAAACACTAAACCCTAAAATCCTATCCTGTAAATAGTCACAGAACCTAAAAGTTCAAAAGTGAACCACGGGTGACTTATTACAATATCGCTTTTTAATATCTAATACACCGCAAAAAAAAAGAATAGGCTTTTGTTTGGAATAGTTCAAAAAAATAAAGAAGCAATTTTTATAAAACTTGGCAATTGTATAAGACTTAAATAACAATTAAAAAAGACATATCGTAAAATTGTTTTTGGTTTGTCGTCATGTTGTCTTGTATGTCCCTTGGAGGGCCCGTTCCTACCCCTAACCTGTACAAGTCATTCAGTTGGCTTCTGGGACTTCTTAGGAAGTAACAAAAATAGTTTACCTTCTATGAATTTGGAATGTGGTTATTTTAATTTGTAATTATTGTATGTTTAATAATTAGGTTTTTTTTAATTCACAAAATAGGTATACATCGTGAAAAATAACGCAATTAATTTCCTCATAAAGGGAATTTTAAAAAAACAAAATTTTTTATGATTATTTTTTATTTAAACTGTTAATATCGAAGCCAATGTTGTATATACATTATATTATATTATAATTTTAGTTTATTTTAGTTTATAACTATTTTGTGTGACATTTTTTTGGTATCTTTTTAAGCGTGATTTAACTGAATTCGATATGACCGGATTAGGCTATTTCAATGCTGCACCATATAATATAAACTTTAGCTTCAACTTCAACATTTATTGCAACTACTAAAATAAAAATAAAAATAAATTGTATGCCGGCTCGTAAACAAACATTACTTAATTTTCTATATTTTAATAGTATATTGTGTATCAAGTATAATAAACGCCATTTTATACACGAATTTAATTTAGGCACAAGCGAGCTTGCGAGCGAGTGATTAAATTAATGAGTGTTTAGAAAAGTTTATAAACGAGGTGCATACTATACTTTTTCTACGACAAATACTTTGTCGTATCTTAAAATGATTTAAATCAAAAATTTGTATAGAGCGCCATCTATGAAACAATAGGGGAATCTAAGTGTCACCGTCAAATGTCAAATTTTAATATTTTATAAACACAATTATAAAGGTTATAAATCGAAATGTATATCTTAAAAATTGACAGTTTTTCACAGTGAAAGTAAAGAAAATGTTTTATGAGCACTTTACAGTGGAGTTCGTGCCCGAATTTAAGTTATAGTTTACTGCCGGCGAAATTAAAAGGTCAGTACAATGTTTATATAAACTTTTTAAATATTGGCATTAAAAAAGTATTTAATACTTTTGTATTTTTGTATTGAGATAATAAAAATAATTTTCACATTTAGTATTATTTTACAAGAAAGGCACTTTATTTTAACGATTGTATGACATTTGACAACTGTCAACTAACTTAAAATTAACTTCAGCCCGTGACTAAAACGCCGTAAAGCCAAAACTTGTCAATGTGTATTTAAAAGGTCACTTAGTGTCATAGAAACATGTACGATAATGGTCGTTTTAAAGGTGGGAGTAGAAAAAATATTTTATGCATGATTTATACCCGTTCTTTAAAAAAAAATTATTTTGTGTTTTTTAATTTGTTTCAGGTAAACTTTTGCAGAACTAAGGAACGTGCTGCTAATAAAAAACCTTTTTATTATGGGATAGTATTGGATATAACCCAACAACAACATTTCTATAAAAGGTTTTTATAATTTGAACTAGCCTGTAAAGGGGTAAGAAACTTTTTAAAAACACCTTGTGTCAATTTTGTAAAAGCTTTTTGTTTTAATAATGGAGCGCAACGATATTTTATATTAATCCCGGCGCATTCGCCATTTTTGTAACGCTAAACAATAATTATTTAAAATAATTTTTTTTATAAAATGTATTTAATGTATTTTATCAAATTGTGTTAAGAGTTAATAAGAAGAAATTGAATTTAAAACCAATAATTGCTGCCCATTTAATAACTATAATTATTTACAATAAAAATCGTTTTTAAAAACAACACAATTTGATAAAATACATTAAATACGTTATTACACTGTATACCTATAGGTAAATGTTCAACTCTTGAAATAACACAGCTCAACCCTCGGACACCTAAAATAATTTTTGGTCGTAGATTCCAAATTCGTGCTCGGTTTATCTACAGTATCGGCCATAATTATTGCAACAAATGTAAAAAAATCTATAAAACGCCTTTATTAATCTTTATGAAATGTTGGATTAAAATACTTATGTCCAAGTTCACGTGTTCGAGGGTATTTCAGGAAAAATTTTTAAAACCTTTCTTTAATAATGAAAAAAGTTCGAAAAATAACTTTTAGGTGATTTTTTAAGTAAATAAAAAATATGCTGTAACGAAGATTCAGCACTTCAAAGTCGGTAAAAATGGCCCCTTTTTGATTATTTTGCTGAAAAGTGGTCATTTTTTAACTACTTTGAATCGATGTATATTCGTTACTGTTTGTTTGATTTGTACAAAATTTTTAGGGTATATTAACAAAAGTACGGTCTTTAACAGCATATTTTTCATTTACTTAAAAAAAATTACCTAAAAGTTATAATTCAAACGTTTTTTTATTATTAAATAAAAGGGCTTTAAAAATATTTTCTCAAAAAACCCCAAACACGTAAACTGAGATATAAGTTGTAATATTTTTATCCAAAATTTTTATAGTTCACTTATTTTGCCAACATTTTTATGCTTTTTACTTCGTTTAATATAACATAATATAATATCCTCACTCAATAAAAAAAATGAGCAAAAAACATTTTAAATTTCCTAAATTAACTAAAAAAATCACCCTCAGGGACACGCGTTGCTTTTGATCAACATAAAATTTTGCAAGATTTTTTTTTTTATTTGAAACTGATGTGGGGGTCCAGCCCAATTTTTTTTTCAATTTATACAGGGTGTTTTCTAATGAAATGCTCCAAAACTTAAAAATTAATAAATATCTTTGAATTTAAATTTTGACCAGATAAACCAAGCACGAATTTTTAATCTACGACAAAAAAATAAGTTTACCTGTCCGAGCGTTTAGCTGAGATATAATTCACCTCCCTACACTGTTATTATAATTATTACGTTTTTTAATAATATTTTGCCATTGGCAAATTTTAGGTTAAAAGTGCATGAAATAATACTCAAATTAAATATTCATTATTTATTTAGATTGCATAGTATTTTCGGACATGTTAGCCTATTAAAATGCAAATGCTCCATTATTACTACTTATGCCCATTTTTCCACGATTGTCATTTACGGAACCTTTATATGTTTCAATCGTTGTTTCTTTCTGCATTTGAGCAAAAGTGAAAGTTAACACAGAGATGATGACAAACAGAAAAATAATCTAAAATATTATCAAAAATGGTTATTTATTTCATTAGTCCAAAAAGATGAGCCTATTTGTGCTTTTGCCGCCTACGACTTAACAATGCACAAAAAGACCTTCTGGGCCGAATGGCATACACAATTTTATCTTCAAGTTGTAATGTTTTTAATTTAAAGCCAATATATTTGTGAAAAAAAATATGAAACGTACAATTATTAAACGTAGAAACAGGTTTCGAATTTTATGATTGGTCTAAATCAAGGTATAATAAAATCGGCCATCACTGACGTCAACATACAATTGCAATTACTATAATGATTTATTATTATTACTTAAGTTTCCAGTGCTGATGACAATAAAGTTTAATTTATTAATCGCTTGAAGATAAAATAGTTTAATATAATTATAAAATTAGAAAAAAACTTACCGTTCTGAAATACATGTTTAAGTTTACTTTATTGGAACCACACAAAAATAATAGTTAATAATCGTTTACAAAAATTCATATTTATACGAATCCGTTATCTAGAGTTATTTTATAGCGAAATTAAATTAATTTAAATAAAAACCATAATATTTTTATTTTTACATGGGTAATCGACTTTTCCTAGTAAAAAATATGTTACCGCTAATATCCGAATACTGTTATAAATTATACAACCTAACCAGAGACCGGACTTTTAGGCACTTAAAAATAAAAAAAAAGTGGTTTGATGGTTTTATGGATTTATTTGCTATAATATTTTAAGGCAGCAAACAATCATTTTTTGACATTTTCTTTTCTTAAACTATGCCGTTTATCACATAAAATACTTTTATCCGAAATCGGCAGTAAAGTAGTCAACAATCGGCAGTAAATTAGAACTTTACTGCCGATTTAATACGAGTATTGTATGCAACCCATTATACATTTTAAGATGTGTCGACTGCTCCTCAGCAGCAACTAAATAATATTTCAAAAAAGCACTGTCGCGGAGGTCGATTGGACCCTTTCATAAAATGTTGTTTAATAAAAATAATAAGTTAATTTTATTAATTAGATTAAAAAATCGCAGCGGCGGGCAAATATATAATAACCGTCGCAACAAAAAGTATACGTAGACACTACACCTACATTCAAATGACATTTGATTTAATCATCAATATTAATAATTACTAATAATTATTATTAGTATTATTAAATGTGATTTCGGATAAAATTTAATATGCACCTCGGCATTAAAGTCATATTTTATCACTCACGTGTATTATTAATATTATTGGTATTATTAATTAATACTAAAAATTATTATAATAATAATAATGTTTATTGTGCAAAAAAATACAATTTCTTACACAAATGGATGTAGTTAGCTTAGCTATCTTACACTACATCCAACAACAAAAAACACATTGAGTCCTTAAACAAAATATAAATTAGGTAGGTACCTATATTTATTAAAAAGAAAAAACAAATAAAAAAATTTAAAACTATAAGCAACTATTAATTTAAACTAAATTAAATCTTTGATTAGACAATATAAATAGCTTCAATAATTTTTTAAATTGTATAAAGGAACAGCCCAAAATAGAGTGTATTTGAACGTGTTTCTATTAAAGTAAATAAATACAAAGACTTATAGAGGAACGATGTGATTGAATACGTCATTCTTTCATTAATTTTAAATTCGTTCATATTTAAGATATATGGAGTTATATGCTCTCTATAAGGAATGCAACATACGAATCGCATGCAAGCATTCTGAATGCGTTGTAATTTTAATTTATTATATTGAGTTAAATAATTGTAATAAACCACGGAACAATAGTCAATGTGCGGCAGTATCAGACTTTTCACAAGTTTCAATTTAGTAGCACTAATAATGTGATTTACATGAAATGTGAATGACAATTCAGAGTCAAATATTACTCTCAAATTTTTAGCAAGATTTACCCACTCAATATCATTAGATCCGAGCGTCAAATGACCATAATAAGTGATTGCCTCTCGCCTTTTCTTTGGACCAACACAAAGAGCTACAGATTTGTCTTGATTTAATTTTAAGCCATGCTTGCTACAATATTCAAACAAGTGTTTCAGATCTAGGTTTATTGCATTAAAAAAGTGTTCCAAGGATATATCTTGCCCTAATTCCTTATAAAGTTGTAAATCATCAGCATACATGTGGACAGAGCACGACGAAAAAATATTCTGCAAGTCAAAAGTATACAGAGAAAATATTAGAGGTCCCAATATACTTCCCTGGGGTACACCAGACAATGTTGTTTTTAGGCAGGAATATATATCTTTATTTATAACCACTTTTTGCTGACGTCCAGTAATGTAACTTGTAATGAATTTTAACTATTCAGATTTAAAACCTAAGTACTGCAATTTTGCAAACAACATGCTGAAATTTACTAAATCAAATGCCTTGCTTTGATCTAAAAGGATTAAAGCTGTGGGGCAACCCTTGTCCCAAGATGAGGCTATATCGTTGGACACCTTTAATAATGCCGTGCTAGTGCTGTGTTTTTTTCTGAATCCAGACTGAATTGGAGGAATGATACTATGTTTGTTTAAATAGCTTATTATTTGGGTATAAATGATTTTTTCAAATATCTTTGAAATTGCTGGCAAAATAGAAATAGGACGCAGTTTCTTTAAACGAAGTAGGGTTAGATACTTTACAAAGAGGTAACACATTGGCAATTTTCCATAAATGTGGAAAAACACCATCGTCAATAGATGAATTAAATAAATGCTCTATTTCATTAACGCAATATGGTAACACCATATTTAAAATTTTAATATTAATTTCGTCAATACCAGTTGCTTTGGATTTAATTGTTTTCAATGCCTTAAAAATGTCTGCCTGTGAAACATATTCAAAATTAAAAGCGATATTTTCTTTATATTTATTACGAGTATAAAATAGGCACAACTCATTATCAACAGTAGACTGTCCAGCAACAGTTAAAAAATAGTTATTTATTTCATCCGGCCGTTGCAGTTCTTTTGGTACCGTTTGTTTAAATGATTTTGATGTATTTACCCCCAATTATTTAAAGTTCTCCACATTTCCTGGGAATTATTTGAATGGTGACGTAGCATAAAATTGATGTAATATGATTTTTCTCTTTTTATTGCAGCACTGATATAATCTCTTAGAGTAATATAATATTGTTTATGAGTTTCGCTTTTAGTTCTTAAATATCGATTATGCGCTTTATTTCTGAATTTTATCATCTGTTTAATATTATAGGTTATGTAGGGAAGGTGTTTATGTTTATTTTGGTTAACAGTTTTCGAAATTACGGGAGCATGACAGTTAAATACTGAAACAATTTGTTCATTTAAAAATTCCACTTTCATATTAATGTCTAATAATTGATATATATTATTCCATGGAATATTATGTACCGCATCTATGGCAAAAGCATTCAGGTCAATGTCTTTGAAATTCCTATATTGTATATTTTTTGCACTTACCTTTGGACTTTCCAATAAAATTTAA